AGTTTTAAGGATTCGAAATACGAGTTTGGAGGAAGGAAAGGTGTGAAGAAACAAAACTCTGGCCGAAACCACTATAATGATTTTAAGGATGCGTTTGATATATAAGACAGAACAAAACTAATTACCCCAACATGGGACTGAACAAAAACCCACCGACCCACGTTTGGCGTGACATGGTATAAAATTTCAAGTAAATGGATTCATTACAAACCATTTAAAGAAGAATGAAATTCTCAAATTAACATCCATTTTCCATTAAATTTATGCCAACTCTTCAACACCTAAGGTTAAGATTTAAAACAACACCAAAAAGATTTGATGTCTTCTAACAACAATAAATAAGTCTAATGATTTCCTAAGTCAGCTAATACACCACTGATTTGATCAGCAAGAAACCTCGAACTGTGACGCGTTGAGCACCTTAGGTTCAGATGCACGCAAAGATCCGTTGTTTTCAGGGTCTAAACTCCGTGCTATATGTGTCGGGTTTGGGAGGGTAAAGCTTATATTCGGTTCATCACCATACCTTCTCTCGGTTGCTTGTTTGAACACAGAAGTGGCGGCGATAGGCGGCGGCAAGATAGCTTGTATAGGTTCCAATATTGATTTCTTGGGTGGTTTCTGGTGCTCCTGTTGGTGGCTGGGAAGAAAGCTTCCAAGTATCACCTAAGAATTAGAAATACAAGCTTAGATGGTAACATACAACCATGAATGCATAAGTTACAAATCATCATAGCATGAGATATTTTTTCAATCATTGCCAACCCATTATTTCTTTTATCTTTCTGATCATTAGAGTCCTTGCAGATGTAATATTTACATGTTTGTTTGAAATCCCCTCTATATATCTACTTTTACCCATCCCCATTACCAAAATTCCTGGATACGCTAAGCATTTACAACAAAATACTTGGTGAACGACCATTTTCAGTTAACGCTTACCCAATTTATGTCATGAAACAGGCCCTATATTCAATTTTATCGGTAAAAATGTAAAATGTCTAACCTGAACAGGACCAGCAGCTACAAGCATACCGGCAAGTCCTCCACCCAAAACACGTCCATTAGGGCCTGCCAAAGAAACACTCATCCCACCAGAGCAACCTTTTGCTCCACCATTCTCATTCGGCRTAAATGCTCCAGACAAAGAAAGAATATCAAAGCGACCCTGCAATAATCTCACGGTTATAATTACATCTCCAAAAGTTGYAGATTTAACCCTTCAAAGTAGCTTAACTGGTAATATGTTATATTAGTCCAAGTATAATTGCATCCTCAATAGAGGTTTATCAGACTTTTCACTTCAGGACCCTGTGGGATTAATCTGRCCCGAACACCCACAGTTCCATAAAAAAGTTGCAGATTTGCAGCATAAAACAGACCAATAATTGAATACATATATGATGTGCGAGACAGATTCAGTGTTTCCACTCAAATTAAACAATTTTCCAGTAGATAAATCACAAATATAGATGTGTAAAATCAMAAGCAGGAATTGGAAGTGGCCTTGGTTATTGAATTAGTGGATATAAATACGATCCTAAGTCGATAGATCACAAATTTCGAAAAGCTAAACCAGGGCTGAAAAAGAATAAAGAGAAAAGGGATATGCGAGAGTAAAGTGCAAGAATCATTTTTGAGCTAAAACCCAAAATGGTTAAATATGCAGGTGTTTTTAGGTTGTGACAGGTCACTGTCAGATAACGGAAAAAAACTGATATAGAAGATTCTCAAATGTAACAATCCCTATACCAATGATGCCAGATACTAAGGTATTAGAAAGAAAAACATATATGAAACTTCAACAGTGTAAAGATATTGTAGATCTATATAAACATCAAGATATTTCCACCAGCATGATGGCATGTACCTGATACACAGATTAAAGACCACA